AGCACCCCAGCTGCTCTGCCCCAGGCGTCCCCAAGTCAGCTTCTGCTGAAACTGACCAGCGCTGACTACAGGAAGCCCCAGGCAGAGTTGCTCTGCCCCGGGCTTCCTGGAATCAGCTGCTGATCAGTTTCAGCAGCAGCTGACTTGGGGACGCCTGGGGTTCTTAAGTTGATTCTGTATGTAAGTCAGAACTGGCGGTCAGTTTCAGCAGTGTCTGAATCTGGACGCCAGTTCCGACTTACATACAGATTCAACTTAAGAACAAACCTACAGTCCCTATCTTGTACGTAACCCGGGGACTGCCTGTACTTATTTTTTGTATTAACACTTGTTCTAACTTATTACTAAATGCCTCCTCCAATATATAACTTGTAGCAATATTCCCACCTTGCCTTTGTATTTTCTTTTATGCTCTTTCTTCTCCTGTCCCACCTCCCCCCAGCTGCACCACAGCTTCCCAAAAAATTTAGGGTAGATGAATGAGCATCTCCTTAGAATTGCCTTGTGATGGAGCTCCACTCCTAGAAGAGATAGCTCAGAGCTGAAAGAATCACTTTAAATGCTCAGCCTAACGGGGGACAATGTACAAAAAGGTACAAAAGAGGACAGTTAAAACCAAAACTGATGCAAACAGACATTTAAAAAAAATCACAAGTGGTTCCTAGACTACATGAACAACAAGGAAATGCAATATGGTCAGAGAAAATTACACTCAGTTATAAATGCAATTAACACTTCAAGCCAAGACAAATATTACCACTAAAATAACAGATTATTTCTGGCAATAAAGGCTGATTAATTCTTTCAAGTCTGAACAGCTAAAGAATGCCATAAGACCCAATTCTTGAAAAGAAGAACACCTTGTCTCTAATTATTTAATTTTTAAAAGGGACGATTTAGCTGTGTTAGAGACAAGCCCTCAATCCATGAGTTAAATGTGAATTTTCTAAGTACCAGAACCATTACTGTTCAAAATGTTTGGACTGCAGAATTCTACTGTTTATAACACCTAGAAAGAGATTACATTTTAGAGTCTACCTTGAAATTAATGTACCTTCAGTTTTTAAGTTATGAACAAAGGTGACATTAGGCATCATCAGTAGCCAAATTTTGCAAGCATAATTTTTCCTTTCAGAGCATGGATCAAATATATTCAGTTGACAATTTAGGCAAAATGCACAGCCATGTGGAAGGTTCATGTAGGGACATCAGTACTATTTAAGATTTGTGATAAGCAGCAAGGATTGTGAAAGATCAGCTGCACCAGAAGAAGGGGACAGGGCTGCTTATCCCCTAATACAATTCAAGTTGGTCTTATTTATATAACTCAGAGCAGAAGATGGTGATGGGAAAGGAGAAACCATCTGATCTATAATTCATCATTTTATCTTAAGGAAACTTCTGTAGTGTTGATGTTGGACAGGAAAACAATTAGGAACTTTTTAGTGATAACAAATATGGATCACAAGAAAGCTGTACTTTTTTCTCACTACTTGAATATGAAGCCGAGGCCTAAAATTTTGGTTCTTCCAATCGCTATAACCTAATGTGTGAAAAAGTTATTATTTGAATATGGGTGTGCATAAAGTTCTAATAGCGGCTGTAAATTTCTTCCTAGCAAACTGCAAAATAGACACAGAATCATATCAGAGGTAAGGATGTTAAATTTTGATTAATTAACTAATTGAGTAGTCAATGGAATTTCCATCAACTAGTTGATTAGCCGATAAGGGGGGGGGAGGGCGCTCGCTATTCCGCTGCGCCTCTGAGGGCGCTCGCTATTCCACTGTGCCTCTGCCTTTGAAATGTACAAGAGCCGCCCGGGACTCTTGCACATTGCAAAGGCAGAGGCGCAGCATCACTGCTTAGGTCCCCACTCTTGTGCCTCTCCCTTTGAAATGTACAAGAGCTGTTCATGGAGCGGAGCTTGGGGGAACTGGCTTTTAACCCAGCTCAGAATGTTCTTGTTTTTTCAGGGTATGAAAGATCAGAAATGAGAGCCACTATTTTAGCTGATATGGAATAAGAAAATGCATAGGTTTAAAAAACACACCACACCCGACTAAATATTTTATCCTAAGGTTCTTTAAAAACAGCCAAAGTCCAAATGCTTAATGATGTACATACTGTATTTTTAGAAAGTGAAAAGCTGACAGCTCACATAGTAGTGTTCTCAAATGCACCTTTCAAAAAGTGAAGCACATTTTGCTTTACTTTACCTCAATTATACACTGCAGGCATTCCCGAGCTTAACACACAATCTAAAATTTATAAAAATTCAAAGCCATACCTTTTGTACATCTTATTCTCATGACTGCCTCAAATCCAATCTTCCTTGTGAAGTATCTTTTAAGGTCTTTTTGCAATTTTTCTGCTTGTGTCGGATTGTGGCTATGATGGAAAGATGGATAATAATAGATGCATCCAGCAGAATATTTGGACATACATGCTTTCGAAGAAAAAGGAAAATGTTTAATATTTATATACGAATAAGCGTAATACAATTTAAAAACAACTGATTTACTTATAAAGAAATAATCATTTTGCCATTTTAATACAGATGAAACATGAAAAAAATTAAACTAGAATGCAAGCCTTAAGTAGCTACTCCATAGGATTTTTTTTTTGAAAAGCAAGTAAAGGTGCTGTAATGGACAAGAGGTTTACCACCACTAGCCACCTGGATAGATCAGGACACCTGAATAGAGTAAGGTCTGTTCCAACTTGCTGGAATCCCATTCTATTTTCCTGATGTGATCCATCTCTATTACTGTCGGTTCCTAACTTCTTACTCAGGCCAAGAACCAGGTGGGAGACAGTCATTATTTATTACATATACAGGCAGTCCCCAGGTTACGTACAAGATAGGGACTGTAGGTTTGTTCTTAAGTTGAATCTGTATACAAGTCGGAACTGGCGTCCAGATTTAGCCGCTGCTGAAACTGACCAGTGGCTGACTACAGGAAGCCTGAGGCAGAGTTGCTCTGCCCCGGGCTTCCTGGAATCAGCCTCTGATCAGTTTCAACAGGCTGAATCTGGACGCAAGTTCCAACTTACATACAGATTCAACTTAAGAACTCCAGGCGTCCCCAAGTCAGCTGCTGCTGAAACTGATCAGCGGCTGATTCCAGGAAGCCCAGGGCAGAGCAACT